GACCACAAAACAAAGGGTAAGGGGGTTACACAGGGCTAGAGCCTTACAAGGATTCGTGTCACTTGGAGCAAAAGTACTCATTTGAGCCAGACTATCATAAATCAGAGGCCTGTTGTAATCTCTAATGTAACTCATTAGAAAACTACACAAAATGCACAAAGAAAAACCAATAGAGAAGATAAAATGAAATAAAAATACCTGATTAATCCAAGACAAAGCAGAAAAAAAGGAAACAGAAAGAATAAAAGAACAAAAGACACAGAGCAAGATGGTGATTCAGACCTGACTGTGTAGAAAATCACATCCCATGTAGACAGACACTCCAATGAGAAGACAAAAGCTACCAGAATAACAAACAACACCCAACTATTTGCTACTGAGTCACTTTAAATATAAGGGCACAGATTTTAAAGTCATGCCATACAACTTAAAAAAAAAGAAAGCTGGGGTACCCACATTACTATTGGACAAAGTAGATCTTAAGGCAAAATGTATTAGAGATGAAAAAGGAACATTTCATGACAAAAAGGTCAGTTCAAAAGTAAAACATTATTTTAAACTGGTCTTCCATGTAGCTAATAATGCAGCTTTAAAGCTGCACATACACACACACACACACACACACACACACACACACACACACACACCCTATAGATAATCCCGTCAGGCAAGTACACCACCTTGTTCATCTTGAAAACTGTCTTGGATAGTCTTAATTTTTGGCTCTTCCATGTAAATTTGAGAATCAAATTACTGAATCTAGTGAGAAACTTTATTGCAACTTTGAGACAAAGAACTCTGAATGAATGGATTAATTTGGGAATGGCTGACATCTTTACAATAATGAGACTTCCCATATAACCATGATATACAGAGTGGGCCAAAAAAATGTGTACACATTTTAAGAAAGGAAAAAACTGTATTAAAATTGTAATACTCAACATATACTGGTAACAAAAGATGAATATGAGTCATGGATATACATTTTTTTGGCACCTCCGGTATTTTCTATTTACTTAGGACTTTTATTAAGTTAAAAAAAGTGGCCGAGTGGCTCAGTTGGTTAAGAGCTTGCTCAAGAGTTTGAGCTCTGAGCAACAGCGGTTCGATTCCCGGCCTGAGCTGAGCAGCAGCTGAACTGCCAACAGCTGTCAGGATGGCTCGGCTTAAAAAAAAAAAAAAAGTGCTATATATTTTTTCCTCCCAAAGGTCGCAGGGGCCTTTCTGGCTGCTAGCTGTCACACTACACCTGCCCCGGGTCATGTTCTTTCCTACCTCCCACACAGCTTCTTCGTTCTCTGCCCAGACCTCACAGAGCAGAGGCCAGGTGTCCCCACAGTCTGGGCTGTGACCTGTCCAAACTCCCGACCCACCCACACTTATGCAAACACAGAAACAGGGGCTGTTTGAAACTTCAGTGCAGTCTGTTCTGGAGTGATGACTAGACTGGTCCTGAATGCTCTCACCCACTCAAGGACCCTTCTCCAGCTCTCTCTCCATCACTTTACTTTCTGGTGCAAGAGTTGGCAAACTTTCCTGGAAATGGCTAAGGAACAAATATCTGACTTAGGGTTTGCAGTCACATCTGGTCTGTTGAGGGTGCTCCTTTGGAACGTTTTACAACTCTTACAGGTGTAGAAAGTTTCCTGAGATCTCAGTGCGCTCTGGACAGCAAGCCCCACTTCAGGGGCTCAATGCCTTCTGTGTACAAATGCGCTGCTGTCTCGCTTATCTTAAAACAAAACAAAACCTTCTCCAGCCAGTTACTGCTCCATTTCTTTTCTTCCCTGTGCACAAATCTCTTTGAGAGATCTGTACGTGTTCACCTAACTCTCCTCTTCCATTCTACACCCCAGTCCAATTTTGCATGCCCTCCCCGCCCTCAGATGCTTTTGGCCTGTGCACAGGCTGTTTGTTCCTACTGCCTGCAGCACCCTTCACTCCCCATCCCCAGCCTGGCTAGGTCTCACTTCCCCTTCATGAACAGATAAGAAGCTGCCTCTTGCAAGAAGCCTTCCTGGACCAACTCTCATGCCTCCAGCAACCAAAGCACCCCTCTATTTCCTCTACTGATGAGTTCATCAGACTCTACTAAAACTGCTGCTAATGTTCCCTTTGCCAGGAATGTTCTTCTTGTCGACAAACTCCTATTCTGCCTCAGGTAGGCTCTCCTGGTCCACCAGCCACGAGCACACTGCCTCCTTTATTACCTCCTCTGTGTATTTAGGAGAGGTTCCCTGCCCCGTTTTTGCAGGTTTTGTTCACCAGTGTATTCCTACTACCTAGCACACAGCAGGCGTTCATATCATTTAATTTGCTTAAAAGCAAAGAGCAGATAAGATGCACCAGGGGAGGCTCCATGCCCACAGGAGCGCATTGGAGGCGGAGTCATGCAGCAGCTGCGCGAACAGGTTGTGGAGGCAAACACTGGACGTGTCCGGCCGCGCTCCTCCGCCTGCCATTGGGCACCCACCTCACCGAGCAGTCGGGAGGCTGAAAGGGGCTAGAGGCCGGCGCGGCCCGGGCCTACCTCGGCGTCGCGGTTCAGGCGGTACACGTAGAGCTGCGAGGTCCCGGCCACCACGAGGTTGCGCTCGCTGTTGTTGAAGAAGTTGCAGTACATGGAGAACTCCAGGCCGGTGGGCGGGTGCGCCTGCTTGTACACGGCGTACATGGCGCCGAGCCCGGGCTGCGCGGGGCTGGAAGGCGACAGGATGAGTGGGCCCGCCCGCGCCCGAACCCCCAGCCCGCCGCCCGCCGCCCGGCGCCCACCTGGCAGTTGGAGCCGGCTCGCCGGGGACCGGGACGTCGATGCACACGCTCCGGCCGGGTCCGGAAGCTGAGTGCCGAGGTTCCGCGCTCTTGCGCCTGCGCCTGCGCAGTGCCGCCACGGTGAAGTGGCTGCAGGGGCCACAGCTGCTCACGGGAGCTGGGAGTAGCCGAGCAGCCTCGCGGCTCCGCGTGCAGAACCCCGAGATCCGCCCCCACAGCCTGGGGAACGGGGCGGCGGGCTGGAAGCGGGGCGGGCGTGCGGCGGCTCAGAGCCGGCTGGGTCCTCTGCCTGACCCAGGATGGGGTCAACGGGAAGGGTCTCCCCGCAGGAAGAGAGGAGTCTCCTCTACCAAGCCCGCGTGCAAGAGGCACCGTGCCAGGAGCTGACGCCCGGGTGAGCCAGGCAAGCCTGAGCCTCGAAGTGTGGGGCCAGGAGGGAAGGGACGCCCGGCAACAGCCACCAGTGTGGAGGAGGCCGGGCCAGTTCTGGGCTGCGAAAGCTTGAGGGACAGATGCTGTGTCCTGTCTCTGCTCAGCGACACCACCACCACCACCACCAAAACACAGGCACTGATGGTGCGTAACCCACCTACCTTAGCTTCGTTGGCCCTATGTCTGCCAGTCCGCCCCTCTACCACGTGAGCCCATACTCCCAGGGCAGCAATTTTATCCAGACCTTGCTCCCCACCTCAGTTACCCACTTCAAGGTTCCTGGAGCCAGGACCTCACAAAGCTAAGCAGACCTCTCCTCCCTTGGTAGGGAGACGACCCTGTTACGCTGAGACAGGCCTGGGCCTTAGAAACGGAATCATAAATAAAACAAGAAAATTGGGTCACACCCAAGAAAATGGCATATAAATATGTGTGCATTGGGTCGGCCGAGTGGCGCGATGGTTAAGGGCTGGCTTGGGACGCCAGAGGGCCCCGGTTCGGAGCCCACATATGAGGGCCAGTGACACTGCCCTCCACAGCTAAGATGCTGAACAACAGCTCAACCTGGAGCTGGGCTGCCGTGAGNAGTGACACTGCCCTCCACAGCTAAGATGCTGAACAACAGCTCAACCTGGAGCTGGGCTGCCGTGAGTCGCTGGCGATGGGCGTAGGCTGCAGCCCCTATGGTAGCGGGTTGCCATGGGCTACCGTGTGTAGCCAGCAGCCAGCGTGAGCGGCCAGCAGCCGCAGTGAGTGGCCGTCCAGAGGCCGGCGACTGATCTGCCTCGCCAGGGAAGAGCTCAATGATGGTGCCAACTTGGGCCAGTGAAGCGACATCCTCCACAACTGGACTGAAGAACAAAAGGACAGCAACTTGTCTGTTCCCCTTCCCCCAATTCCCCAGCGCTGTTCCCATCCCCTCAATTCCCCAATAAAAATCTTTTTAAAAAAATAATAAAAATAAAATCAAATCAGGTTTAAAAAATATGTGTGCATTGCACCCAAATCAGCCCACTTGCTCATGTCAGCAACAGAGCTCCGAGTCTGAACTGTGGAGCAGTACACAAAGGTACCCTGGGATGTCCAGGCAGGCGTGTGACCCCTGAGCCACATCGAACCCCTTCAAAAGTCCTAAGAAGTCCTGTTGCCAGGACCGTGAGTATGTGCTGGAGGAGGCAGCAGTGCAAACACTAACTTCCAGCGTCCATGTCAGATGGATAGTCATGGTGCCCACATCACAGGTCAGTGCTCACAGCACTGTTAGACTGGAGCCTGGCACATGGCAAGTGCCCTAACAAATGAACGAGAATTCGTCTGTGGGAGAGCGGTGGTCAGTACAGAGAGAGCCAGAGACCCTGCAACAGTCCTGGGGAGGGCAGCAGTGGGTAGGGTGCAGCTCCATCCAAGACAGAGGATAGGAGAGGGTGGGCAGAGGGACCGTGAGGTGGCAGGGTTGGCAGTGGGAAAGCAGAGGTTGGCTCGCCTAGTAGATCCTTCTCCTCACTGAGGTGAAGGGAGGCAGTTAGTGGAATTGCCTGGGTGGGAGAGTGAGAGGCTGGAGCAGGGGTCAGCAAACTGTGGCTTGCCAGCCACATGCGGCTCTTTGGGTACATTCCGTCTCAAAAGTTTGCTGACCCCTAGAAGAGCCAATCCTGTCCCTCACAGCAATTTAAAAATTATTTGAGAGCCATAAATATATTTTTACATAATCACCATTGTGTGAATAATAATATCCTTTAAAATTTTTACAAGTGAAACTATGATAGTTTTATTTTCATTTTCAATTTTACTTCAGAGCCTGCAGCTTGCGAGCCGCAGTTTGCTGACCCTTGGCTGCTCTTCCGTCTCAAAAGTTTGCCGACCCCTGGGCTACAGGATAGGCCACGGCTTGGGGATGGCTGCCTGGAAGCAGAGCACAGCTCCCTTGGCTCCTCAGGGCTCCAGGCACTGCCTCACTCATCCTCCTTTTTTGGTGGGAGACCCTTCCCTCCCAGCAGGAAGAGCAGGCTGGGCTCCGGGCTCCCAGGGCAGGAATGTCTTTATTGAAGCTGGGTTGCTGGGGTATGGGAGGCAGGGAGACTCTTCAAAAGCCTGGAGTTCTCCAGGTACTTGGCAGTAGGTTCAGGTTCAAAGGGCTGAGACAGCACAGGGCCAGAGTCAGGTCCCAGAGTGGGGAGGAGGCACCATCAGAGGGTGATGCTGTCCTCATACAGCGACAGCAGCAGCAGGACGGCCCAGCCGCCCAGCAGGCCCACGTTGTGCACCAGAAAGAGGAGCCAGGGCCGGCGGTCCCGCACCTTGAGCATGGCGGGGAGCTGAGAAGGGGAGCACTGTGTCAGCGGCCAGCTCAGCCCTCGCTCAGCCTCCCACCAGAGCAGCCCTCTCCGCTCCCTCCGCCCTGACCATGTCACAGAGCGCCACATAGAGGAAGAGGCCGATGGCCACCGCCAGGATCCAGGTCTCACTCTCCTCCCCGACGCCGAGCGCGAGTGCTACGTAGAGGCCGGCAAAGGCCGTGAGGGCCGACGCCAAATTCAGCAGCAGCGCCCGGGGCACCGACAGCCCGGCGTGCAGCAGGGCAGCAAAGTCCCCTGGAGCAGGAGGGACGGGGTCAGGCCAAGAGCCCCGCCCCTGACGGCCCCGACGGCCCCGCCCCGCTCACCACAGCCCCGACAGGTCCCGCCCAGTAGGCCCGCCCCACGCAGCTCACCCAGCTCGTGGGGCACCTCGTGGCAGAACACGGCCAGCGAGGTGGCCAGCCCAGTCTTCCAGGAGGACGCGAAGGCGGCACCCACCGCCAGCCCGTCGGCAAAGTTGTGCAGGATATCGCCTAGCGTGATCATGTAGGGCAGCAGCCTCAGCTCTGTGGACGCAGCGGGCGTGGGTCGGCCTCTGCCTGGCTGCTGCCAAACCCCTAGCCCCCAACCCTTCCGGGGTTTCCCCAGGGCTCACCGGGGCTCAGCCTTGGGGGCTCTGGGCTCAGCAGCTCAGGGCTCTCCTCCGCCACCTGCAGGGAGTCCCGGTGGATGAGCCCCCGGGCGGGGCAGGAGGGTGGGGGGCTGGGACCTAGATCAGCCTCAGAGGAGAAGCCCTGGGGTGGGGGCTGGGAGTGTGGGCTCTGGAAAGGGTCCTTGTTGAGGGGGCTCTGTGTGGGGCGGGACGCCCCAGCGGGGTAGCTCACCAGGTCTGCGCGGGAGCCCTCGTGGGGCTGCTTGGGCGGCCGGCGTTCCCTGGGCGCTAGCTGTAGGGACACGCCATGGCTGTGGCCACCGTGGCCACCGTGGCTGCAAGGCTCGTCCTTTGGGTCCTGCGGGACAGCGGCTCAGAGCCCGCCATACCTCCTCCCCGTCCACCCACGCTGTCCAGTCCCCATGAGCCTGACCTCCGGGTCCAGGGGCAGCAAGAGATCGACAAGTTTCTCGAACAGGAAGAAGGCATAGAGGCCGCCAAGCACGACCACGAGGCGCCAGACGGGCTGAGGGCCGTGGCAGTCCACTCCTGGCTTGCACTGCTCCAGGTGCTGGTGCAGCCCCAGAACCTTGGAGGGGCAGGGGATGCTGGGCTGGGTGCCTCAGGGTCTCCCCCAAGCAGATGAAAGAGAGGGGTTAGGGGTGGGGGAAGGGCCCCAGGTGGGCGGAGCAGCGGAGCCCCTGGGGTTGGGGGCGGGAAGTCGTGGGGGCTGGGGCCCACCTTGGGCGTCAAGTGCAGGAGGGCGTCTCCGGTGAGTGCGCCCACGGCCATGCCCAGGAACGTCTGGATGATATAATGGGCGGCAGTGCTGCAGGCAGTGCAGGTGAGAAGCAAGAGGCCGCAAGCCGAACAGAGGCAGATGAGCAGAGTGGCCAGTGAGCCGTACAGGTACACTACGTGGATGGGGCAAGGAGGGCCCAGGTGAGAGCCTCCCCTTCAGCCTTCCCAGGGCAGGGCATCTACTGGGTCCAGGAGTAAACAGGAACTCACCAGGGCTACAGGCAGTCAGGTGCGGGCCAGGCCTCTGCTCATGCTAAGGCCCATCCTCCTCCCTTCCAGGCCCCCACACTCCCCTGGAACCCCTCTGCTCCAATGCCCCCTTCTCTCACCAGTCCCAGACCCAGCTCTCCCCCAGCCCAGCATCCACTCCCTCTTTCTGTCGGCCCCACTGCCACCGCCAGCATCCCTGGCACAGGCAGGCAGGCAGGCTGGGGAGGTGGGCACTCACTCTCTGACTGGCTGAGCTGGACCTGGGCGGGGTGACTGAGCTGGAGGCTGCAGGCCCCACTCAGTTGCTGCTGGAGCAGGGCAGGGCTCAGTTGGGCCCAGGCCTCTGGGGTCACCCCCGTCTGCTCAGACAGCCCGTACACAGCCATCACGTCCCTGGCACTCAGGCACACCTGGGGGGGCAGGACCGGCGGTCAGGGACCTGAGCAGGCCTATGGGACCCCAACTCTCCCCAGGACCATGGCCCACGGGTGCTCACGGTGTCCCACACACTGGAGCTGCTGTTGGGGGTGGTGGGGAGCGCGGAGCCCTGGTGGTCAGCCCTCTTTCCCAGATGATGGTGGTCACTGTGGGCATGGTGGGTCTCGGTCACTCCGCCTACCCCCAGGTGCTGCATCAAGGCTGCCAGCTCTGACAGAGAGGACGAAGCACAAAGTCTGTGTGGTCTCTGGCCCTGCCCTGCCCAGGGGCTCGGGGCACACCCCACTCAGTGGCTCAGCCCAGGCCTCACCAGCCAGTGTGATGTTGGGGTTGTCACTGTGGTGCTGCCGAAACACGAAGTCCACAAAGTACTGGGGAGCTGGCAGGGCATGGAAGCAGGACCCACTCCCAACATGGTCCAGCAGGGCGGCCAGCACAGGGCCAGGACTGCCGAGAGGCCCTACCACCGCTGCCTCCTCCAGCAGCTGAGGCAGGTCCACACAGGCCTGGGGGGAGGGGGGGGGGAGCTGAGCCTAAGCGTGGCCTTCCTGGCCTCCAGTTTGGCCATCACCCCTAGTGCCCTCTCACCTTAGATGCCTCTCAGCCTCTGTCCCCCAGGTGAAAGCCCCTCCAGGGTTGCCCATACTCCCTGCCCTGCACTGGGTGGCGAACATCCATTGGGACCCCCCAGCCCAGCCTACCCTCCTGAGTGTGTCCCCAGACTCCCCCAGGCACCCAGCAAGTCATGGTGCTCGACAGGCCCACCCCCGAATGGGCCCCTTCCTCTCGGCCCCCCTCAGGTCCTCCTCACCCACTCCTGCTGGCTGACCTGCCCAGACCCTCACCTCCTCTGCAGTGGGCCGGCCAGTGGTCTGGGCCTGAATCTCCCGCACCAGCCTGCTCAGACCTGGGATCAGTGCCTTCGGGCCCTCGAGCAGGGCTAGGAGATGGTCGGCGCGGGAGGCCCAGCGGCCGGTCCGCGCGTCCTCACACGTGCCCTCTGGGTCGCTGAGGTAGAGGGCAGCAGCAGCACTGAGGCGGGGGATGTCCCTGGGCTCCAGGACTGGTCCTGGCTTCCCAGGCCTGCCCAGGGCCAGGAGGTCATCCACAGACAGACACTGTTGGCAGAGACAGGTGGGCAGGGCCCTGTGGGGTCCACACACACCTTTTACCCCCACACCCTCCCACTATTGCCTGCTCTCACTATCCTGGATAACAGGAGTACACACACACAGGGGGTCCCAGGCAGGGGTCCCCCCTTCCTGGGGTGGTTTCTTCCTGGAACCACTGCCAGTTTCATGGCTTGGGGGTTGCCAGGGAAGGTGGCGCTGGGATCCTGGAGCTGTGTGTCCCCAGCATGGTCCCCCCACCCTGGGGGAGGGCAGGCCTGTCGGCGCTCTGGGCTTGCGGCTGCCAGCAGGACATGCCACTGGGCCACTTGGCCTCTGCCCGCCTCCTGGAGTTTGCCCAGGCCCTGTGCTGCCAGCCCTTAGGGTGGAGCGGGCAGGGCTGGGCCAGGGCTGGGGGACCTGTCGGGTGGGGCACTTACCTTTCCACACGGCCCTGGGGCGCAGTGCACACGGGCCGCCAGTGTATTTAACAGGCTGCCCAGAGCCACGCGGTCCAGAGTGCCCTGGCCCGATGACAGCGAAGTCAGCAGAAGAGCAGACTGGGCCACGGTCATGGTCACCGCCAGCACCACCAGCAGCAGCCCTGGCTTGCGCCAGGCCAAGACTGCCATGCTGAGGCCGTGGAGAGCTCGGTGCTCTGGAGAGGCCATGTACACAGTGCTGGCTGCGGGAAGAGACGGCTGCCTGGGGCCAGACTGGGGCTAGGCACGAGGCTCTCTCCCAGGTATTTCCTGCTGGGCTCTGTGATTGGCTGTCAGAGGAGTCGCAGGTTAACCATTCCAGGGGCAGTTCCTCCCCAAAACAAGGAGCCACAAACCAGGAGCCACTGCCTGCAGGGGGACATAGCTTCCTGGGGCCAGACAGGTGGGGAGGTGAGGACCCCTCCCAGCTATTTCCTGCTGGGCTCTGATTGCCTGCGGTGTCAAACCATTCCAGCTGCAGATCCTCCCCAAATCCAGGAGCTGTTGCCTGCAGGGGCCGAGGGCTGGTCACTTCCCTTGGACTGGGCGGCCTGGGCATCCCCTGGCCTGTTTGCTGCCCCCAGATTGCAGGGCACAGCCTCCGGCAGCCCTCTCTCCAGGGGCGGTCCCCAAGCAAGGGGGGCCAGGGCAGAGCTGCTTGCACGCCCCCATTCCCAGACATTCCACCTGAGAGTCCCACGCCCCCTCCAGGGGGACCTCCCTGGGTCCTGGGCTGTGGTCTCCATGGTGGGGGTGGGAGGGAAAAGATAAGGTGTTGGCTGAGTCACCCACCTCTCCCCAATGCCGCCAGGGAAAATTCCCCAGGAGATGGCCCCAGGCCTTCGGGGAAGCCAGGTACTCTTCTATCTGCCACCTGGGGAAGGGCTCTTGGGTGTGGCTCCCAGCCCTGCCCTGCCCCTCCCTACCTACCGCTCTCTGCCCTTTAACCCCTCAGCCTTATCTCTGCCTAGCTGGCATCTGGGGGAAGGGGCAGCTTTGCCTTCAGGAGGGAGCCTCTGGGCAGCCCCCTGTTGAACCAACCCCCGTGGTGTGTGGCTGGGATGGGGAGGAGCTCCAGGGGAGCAGAGAGCCTAGGTCCAAGAACTCTGTCCCCAGAGTGCTGTGGCACCTAGGGCTGGGCATCAGGCTTCGATCAGTGTCCTGGGCCTGGAGTAAAGTGTTTCTTTCTCTTTCCCACCTCATTCACACAAACACCAGATGCACCACAGTGTGACCTCCATGGAGGGGCGGGGCGGGGCCAGAAAGAGCCTGCGGGGTGGGGGGTGGGGGTGGGCGTGCTTCAGACGATTCCTGGGCCCCTGGTTCAGTGGGGAGGGAAGCTGGAGAGATTTCGGCACCCTTTCACATGGCTGAAGGCTGAGCCCAAACTGGCCTTTTTCCTCTCCCACCGCCCCAGGACCGGCTAGGGGCTGACCGGGGACCAGGCTGCAGCCACAGGCCACCCACCCACGGCCCAAAGTCCTATCAGTTCCAGGCAAAGGTCTCAGCCCGACCTTCCAGGCCTACCTGAGCCCTGGCACACGCAGGCAGTGCCCTCTGGCCCCAGTGGACCTCTGTGCTGGTCCACTTTCCTCCAATGGCCTCCTCCCTGCATGTCTGCCCGCCCCCTGCTGGTGCTGGGTTGCCCTTTGGGTGTTGAGCCCCATCTTGCCTCATCCCATCATCTAGGAAGCATGTCGCAATCACTCCTGTCTTGAAACACACACCAGTGTTCATAGCAGCTGAAACGTGGAAGCAATCCAGGGTCCGTCCACAGATGAGGGATAAACACGTTAATACATCCACACGGGAATATTACTCAGCCTTTAAGAGGAGATCCTGGCACACACTACAACATGCATGAGCCTCGAGCACCTTGTGCCAAGTAAAATAAGCCTTCCGCTCCCTCCGGCCTTTGACCCCTCAGCCTTCTCTCTGCCTAGCTGGCACCTGGGAGAGGGGCAGGCCCCAGGGAGCCAGCCAACACCCCGCCCAGGTCTCAGGTCAGGCTTGTATGAAACTTGAGGACATTATGCTGAGTGACACGTCAGTCACAAAAGAACAAATTTTGTGTGATTCCACTTACATGAGGCACTTAGTCCAAAACCTAGGGGCAGAAAGTAGAACGGTGTGTGCAGCAGCTCGGGGAGGGGGAACAGGGGAGTTTAATGGGGAGACTCCCAGTTTGGGGAGATGAAGGGGCTTTGGGAGACAGATGGTGGCAATCGTGGCAAAATGATGTGAATGTGCTGAATGCCATAGAACTTAAAAAGGCAAATTTTATGTTTTACAGATTTTATCAAAATAAAAATAGAGCTGACGGTCTCTGGTCCTCTGCCCCTTCCACTGCCCCTGATAGTGCGACTTGGGTGCTCTGGCACTGGCAGCCTTTCCCAGGCTCCCCTGAAGCCCCACCTCCCCCCACACTCCTATCAAGGTCTCTGAGAGCCCCACAGGCCAGACCCAAAGGTGCTTTCCCTGACCTTACTCTGCCCAGAGCCGCATGGCTCCTCCACTGCCTGGGGCCTCTCTGGGTCTCCTCCATGGCTCCAGATGTCCCTTCTTTAGCTCCTTTGCTGGCCTTCCTATCCCATCTCCAAGTGCAGCTGTGCCAACCTTGGATCTCTTGGGTGGAATTGCTGGCACCCATGATAGTGGGCTTTTGCCCTGGAGTCACAGCCTTTGTCCTGAACACTTCTCTCTGGGATGGCAGCCTCTGATGTCTAGCCACCCACATGATCGCTCCACTAGACAGTCAAAGAGGCAAGGCCAGTCTGTGCAAAGTGGGCTCTGGACAGCCCCTCACAGGAGCCCTGCTCCCCTCCAGCCTGTCTGGTTGCTCAGGCGCCAGCCGTGGGTGCAATCCCGGAGTGCCCTCTCTACTTCCAACCCAGCGGCAAACGCTGTGGGCACGTTGTGAAGCACAGCCCACACCCAGAACCTGATGGTCCCTCATCACCCCGCTGCCCGACCCTGGCTGGGACCCACCAGTCACCCTGTCTCTGCTGCCTTTCCCTTGTGAAACACAAGCTATTGGGTTCTCGGAAAAGTCATGACGCATTTTTGCAACGAAAAACAGAAAAAATACGTCATGACTTTTCCGACAGCCCAATAGATGGGGCATGCGTCAGCTCCAAGCCCCCAGCTAGCACCCAGGGCTCCTGGGGACCGTCCCAAGCCTCGACCTCACCTGCTAGTCACCTGCCTGACCTCTGGCCCTCACCTCCCCACCTACGTCCAGCTGAGGGGTCTGGCTTACTGCTCCCTGTCCTCCTGCTCAATGGCGAGAGGCTGTTCTAAACCACCCCACGTGAAGTGGTACCTCCCCATCCATCACACTCAGAAACCCTATGTGCCTCCCTCCACTGCCTCTGGACACCACAGGTATCAGAGAGAATGCTACAACTAAAGTGGCTTGCCCCTTGTCCCAATGTCACCGTTGCCAAAAGGTGATGAGGCCTTGGGCAAAGCTGGCCCAGGGACTCCTGTGGTGTGTCCTGGCGGGGCCTTGCTTCCTGGCACAGGACATACTCAGCAGCAAGCAGGCGGGCAGGAGGGCGAACTGCCCCGACCACGAGTTATCTACTGGGGCTCCGCACCGTACAAGACAGGGCCCTGATGCGAAGGTCAAGCCCTGTGCTGGTCTGCGCTGTCCTCTGCAGGCACACATCCAAGCCTGGGGCAGCATCCAGCCAGCTGGGCCCCCAAGCGGTCTAGAGCTCAGATGAGGGGTGGGGACCTGGGTGTGGCAGGCAGTTCCTCTGGTTAGGTTCAAGCCACACCTAGCCTGGGTGGGGGCTCGCCCACCCCCACTACTTGCCCAGGCAGCCCACCAGGGAGGCTGCTGGCCCTGAAATGACACTCAAGCCCTCTGCTGACAAGCCCACTGTGTGCTCAGAGCCCGTGCGTGCCAGGGCTGCTAAATGCCACCCAAGGCCCAGAGGCAGACAAACGTGGGTAGGCCTGCGTGGAGGTTGGCCACAGCAACAGGAAAGTCAGAAAGCATCTTTATTGTGTGGAGGGGCTCCAGGTGGAGACACCACGATGGACAGAAACACAGACTGGGCTGCTGTGGAAAGTCCAGTGGGTCCAAGAAAGCAGGAACCATCCTGGGAAGCTGCAGCCCTGCACTGGGCCGGCCTGAGCGCCCCTGCTCTGCACCCCTGGGGCAGGGAGGCTGTGGGACTCAGGCGTGCAGGAAGCGGTTGAAGGCGTTGTAGGCCGACTCCAGGTCGAAGAGCATCTGGCGGACTTGGGAGTCGTCTAGCTCGTCGGAGGCGGACATGCCGCTCAGGGTCTGCAACCTGGTGCCGGCAAGGGAACACAGCGCTGGAGGTGTGTTCCGAGGGACTCCCAGGGCTACCAGGAGAGGGCAGTCACTCACCACTGGCTGACAGTCTGGCGGCCCTCAAAGTCGGGAGGCAGGTGGCTCATGCGATGCATAGTCTCCATCAGCTCCCGCAGGTCAGGCTGGATCTGCAAACAGGACGCTCCATGGGACCCCGCCCCACGCCCC